AGTCAGTTCTCTGTGTGGTCTCTATGAGTCAGAATTGACTCGAAGGCCGTGAGTTTTGCGTTTCTGAGATGTGGCGTTGTTGATCTGTTTGCTTACTGCCTGTCTCCACCCGCTAGTCGTTTCCCAGCCCGGAGTTCAGCCCTTGAAAGATCAGAGCTTCACACACAGAAGAAATACTTGGTGAGCTCAGTAACTCTGCACCTAGAAGTTCACCTTGCACAGGTACACCACCACCCACACAACCAGACACGCAAGTACACTCCATCAAGCCATCAAGCCGATGCCCCTCACAGAGACCTTTTAGGATGGGGTAGAACTGCCGCTGTGGATTTCCAAGGCTCTCAACTCTTGATGGGAGTAGAAAGCCCCGTGTTACTCCCATGGAGTGGCTGGTGGTTTTGAACCGCCGGGCTTGTCGCTAGCAGCCCAACGTATAACCACTATGCCACCAGGGCTCCTGCAGGTACACTACACCAGTTCATTCTGAGCAGGTCGGGACATGCAATCCCCTCCAAAGCCCAGCTCCCAGGCTAGCGCTGCAGGAACCAGCAGGGTCACATGGGAAGGATCACAGAGGACCTTCTGCTGGGCAGCCAGCCACAGTGATGGGCACAGCTCTCTCTGCTGCCATGCCTTCAGACCCCACCCCAGTCCCTGGGCCTGCCAGAGCACAGCAAAGCGCAGGACTTCAGACCAAGGTTAGCAGAGAGAACTGTTTAAGGGAGCTTAAATCACAACAAAGGTCCACAGAGCTGCTACAGAAAGTAACCTTGTGGGAGGAACTTTGTTTTGTTTCACGTTTGGAGGCTTCCTGCACCAGAGGAAGTTGAGCAGATCTCAGCATCCCCTTTGAAAAAGGGTCGCCCTAAGTTACAACAGTGCTGACTCTGACAGAGGGCTCCATCAACCCAAGGAGAGGGATCCTGGAATGAGCAGAAAAAACCTCATCTCCTTCGTCTGACACTCCGACGTCGGGAACCAACATCCTACCGAGTGGAGGGGGCTGATCTGCTGCCCTTTATTTCTCTCCGCCATACACCAGATCCGAGGCCCCCGCGCCCATCTGTGCTTCCTGAGGGTGTGCCTGCAGGAAGCTGGGAGCCCAACCCTCCTCCACACCTCGGGTGCACGGTGCAGGATAAACTGCTCCCGTTTAGGGGTCCCTACTCCATGCCTGGTTTCTTCTTGCATTGCAACCTCCCGGCCACCCGTGCACAGATGAGGCAACTGAGACAAAGGGTAGCTAAAACCAAAGTCACCCCTCCAGTTGGGGGTGCTGGCTGGATTTGAACTGCGCTCTGTGCCACCCCCGAGATTTCCGCCTTTCAAAGTCGGACTCTGGGTCTGCTTTCGGGGCACTGCCCAAGCCCACAGGGGCTGGATGGAACGGAATCGCTGACAGCAAAAGGGCTAGGGGACTGACGAGGGACAGCACCTACCCCCAGCCCCCAAAAAAACGGTCCGTTTAAATAGCTGCTCAGCTCCACGGGGCCGGGTCAGAGGGGCTAGCTGTACAGAGACCACAGAGACCAAGGAGCCATCAAATTACTTGGTCGGTTTCGAGCTCCAGCGCCCAAGCCAACAAAAACTCACAGAAGACCTTCCAAGTAAAAAACGGGGTGCCAGGCACGGCGTGGGGGGGAGGGGAAGCGGGTACTCTCTCGGAACCTGGGGTTTCGGGGGAAAGGAAAGGTCATCTGGGACCAAGGCAGGTCACCTCGACACTTGGAAGGGGTGACCCTACGTTCTCGGGGTCGCCAGTGGCTTGTGGGGAGGGAGGGTCACGCCCCCGGTCCGGAGTCGGCGGGAGCAGTCACAAATCGCCCAGCACCCCCGGCACCCCGCGGCCGGCCGCGCGCACTCACCTGTGTGTGCCGCGTCTTCTACGTGGGTCTGCGATCCGAGTCCGGCGGACTCCCCACCCAGCCCGCGGCCGCCCAGACTCGCACGGCGCCGGGCCTTCACACTCGCAGCTCCGCAGAAGCAATGGGCCGTGCAGCGCGGGCGAAAGCTACGATTTTCAAAACCGAGGGCTCGGCCAATCCCCGGCAAGTTCGTCTGGGCGACTGTAAAACTCTAAGCCAATCAGCTCACGAGAAGCTCCAGTCAGCGCGTCTATTGGCTAGAGACCCTGTCAATAGGCGGGACTAAGAGGCGAGGAAAGGAAGCGTTGAAACTTTTAAGCTTCCTCTGCTTCCGGAGCGGCTGCCGGCCAGTCAGAAAGGAAGTGGCCGCGGTGAGAGAAGCGCGCGCAGAACGTCCCACGCAGGGGACTACAAGCCCCAGCATGCACTGCGAGGATCCCCGGACGCAAACGCGTTGCGTGGGTTAGATTCCGACGTTGGGCTCTGAGCTGACGCATTTTGCCCTGGCATTTCTGTTCCCAGACTTCTCCTTGCAAATGGCGTATTTCTTACCTCTGCAGCTTTTAAGAGGGCGTAAAAAGAAAACGCCCTGCAAACCGCACCAGAGTTTTGTTTTTCTGTTGGGCCCGCTGTCATCTCCTGGGCGATCGGAACCTAGATCTCACCTTTCTTCAGATCTCACTGGGTCTCAAGCTGGGCGCCCCCACCCTCCCCTCCTTGGTGGTGTATTGGGTCACTCTCATAGGGCTGCTAGCCGCTAGGTCGGAGGTTCAAATCCACCAGCCACTTCGCATGAGCCAGATGAGGCTTTCTGCTCCCGTACAGCCTCGGAACCCCACAGGGCAGGTCTACTCTGCCCTATTGGCTCTCTCGGAGTCGGAATCCACTGGACGGCAGCGACCTTCCCCTCAGGTGGCAGGAATGGTTTGAGTTTGAGCCCCTAACCTTTGGGTTGGTTGTCATCTTTTCGGAAGCCAACTGCCACACAGAGATCTCCCGGAGAGATCCTGGAGGGTCTCCAGGAATTCCATTGGTATATTAGAGATGTTTTCTGACAGTACAAGAAAGGAGGAGGAACCGCGTGGAATTTTGCTACATAGAAGCAGTGAGCAAGTGTATCCCTAAGGGCTTTGCGTCTCTGGGTACCAGGTCCCCTGGAGTTAGGCGTGCCTGGAATGTGGATTCCCTGTGAGAGCAGGAACCATCTTTATGTCTGCCCAAGGGGAGAGATGGGCCGCTGGAGATGTCTATCCCGCAAAGCAAACCCACTGCTATCAGTGGAGTCCACATCATAGCGACCCCTAGGGCTGTCCGTCGTTACTGCAACAGATAGCCTCAACCAGCTCCGTCGCCCAGCCAGTGAATTTGAACTGCTAACCTTCAGGTTAGCAGTGCAATACATAACTGACCTCCAATATTTCCACAAGAGCCCCTTGACTCGCTGCCATCGCCCGGATTCAGACTCCTAGTGAGCCTACAGGACCGTCAAACTGCCCCTGTGGGGTTCCATGAGATTGTAAGTCTTTGAAAGAGTAGACAGTTCCATCATGCTCCCTTGGAGCAGCTGGTGGTTTCAAACTGTTGACCTTGCGATTGGCAGACCAACTTATAGCCCACACAGGCACCTTAGCGACCCTATGAAGAGTTTCTATAGCTTTGTACATTTTTACCGGAGTAGACAGCCTTGTCTTTCTATTGGAAAGTGGTTGGTGGGTTTGAACTTAGTAGTCTCCAAATGTTTTAGCTCTAGTGTCCACTAAAATAATAAGTAAATAAATCTAGGCATGTCTTAAAAAATAATCGCCAAATGTTGGTCATCTTGTCAGTGACTGCTTCATGTTCAGTGCGTTGCAAGTTTGCGACATGCTAAAATAAAACTTGCATCACACTCTTAATGTAATTTGATCCTCATTACCACCCATTTGAAGGAGCCCTGGTGGTGTAATGGTTACAGGTTGGGCCGCTATCCAAAAGGTAAGCAGTTCAAAACCAC